CGTGGAAAACAGTAATCACAAGTGTGTAAGATCGAAGCTTTATTCAAACTTTGGAATTCTCGATTCTAGTTCTTATTTCTTGTATGACGTTTGCACTCCTCTTATACTCATCTACTTCCAATCTATCCGTTGGACAGTCTTCAGAGGATTAATCTCTAAATCAACCCATTGGAAAAACTTCCCAAAAGAAGATGCATAGCCATTAGAAGAAGAACCATTATCTCCATGTGATTTGATCGCCCATACAATCAAATCAAGGTTTCCATAAGTGTAGTTCTTCGTATTTAAGGAACGATCTTGTGATTGACAATTTGAATATCTTGAAATATCAATTTGATTATCCTGCATAAACTTGCCAAAAGTAACACTCATTAAATCCGACGAGTAATTTTGAGTCTAATGACAAAGTCCTTTCATCGACTAAGTCTGATAACTCAGCATTTACCTACATCAAATAACTTAAGTGTAATTCTGGTCAGTAACAGATAGTTTTGTCATTCCTCAAAATTCACTAGGGATTTTTTTCAACACCTATAAACACGGAATGATTTATCAAATTTCTTAGAAAACTCAATCTTTTTCTTTGGCAACCAAGAAAAGACCGTCGGGTATCCCTTAGGGTTTCTCCATGGCGCATTCATTCTTCGCCAAGTTCCATTCATCCCTAGGGTTGAAGTCTTTGCTGTCTCAATCCTATAGTATTCCCTCACAAAATCTATTGCAAGTTTTTTTGTAGGCTGGGACCACGTTGACCTCCCATAGGCAATGCAACACCTTTTTCCATTCAGATGGAAGAGTGTTGATCATAACATTCAACTTCTTAAAGTCCAGCATACAGTAACCACTCCAGATGATTTTCTGTATCATCTTATTGACCTTGACCACGTGATTCTCCAAATCGCCACTTTCCCATCGATAAGCATCTAACTCAGCTCTCAACGCTGCAATTCTTGCCTTTTGTTCAGCCGATTGTGGGATAATAGGTGTGCACATCCTACGGGGCGACATTGTTCCTGCAACAAATGCAGAACCAAACAGGATTACACATAATCCATAGAGCATATGATCAGCAAATTTTTTTTTCTCGGTGGTCAACGCCGGTCAACGGTAGTCAACGGTCAACGGATGACCGAGGTCGGGTCAACGGGTCTCCGGGTCGAGTCATCGGGTTCAAAGAAAAAACGGGTTGGATCGGACCAACCGGGTCGGGCCGGGCCTTTCGGCCTAGGAGAATAACCGGCGTGGCTGACGTCAGCCACATCCACACGCGCTTGCTTGGCGCATGCCGCGCACATGCGCGCGGCAACTGCTGCACACGTGCGATGCACATGCCGGCGAGCCGCCGCTTGCGGCCGCACATGGAGGCGCGTCCGGCATCCCCTGGCGGCATTCCACCCGTCGTTTTTCTCATCTCGACAAGCACTACGACCCTACACTTTCAAAAATAAATTTTGACTCTCGAAAATCAAGAAACGACCTCGAACAGTACGGCCGAGTGTCGATTTTTTGTACCCCGAGCGTTCGTTGGCGCCGTTTCACGAATTTCGGCCAACAATCCATTTTATAAACATGTTAAACGATTAGGAAACAAGAACACAAGCTCTGATACCAATGTTGGAAACAGATTCCTAAACAAAATGCGGAAAAACGGAAACAAATTCCTAAAAGACGAAAAACTGGAACTAACGAGTAACGTTAAAAACATATGCGGAAATGTGCCCAGTTGAAACTTGAATCACCGATCGTTTAAAGTACATCACCAAGAAGGACGTACCTTGTTTTCCACGGATTATGCTCTGATTGCAACGCCGAGAGAGTACGATTCTTCGATCGTCAAGTGAGAGCCCTTTTTTTTTAGTGAGAGAAGTTTCTTCTTGTGAGTGTGAATATCAAAAAATTAACTGACAGAACTTACGTAACCTTTTTGCCTCACTCTTTTGTTCATTTTGCAATTTTCCACAAATAACTGCCTCGGCGGTTATTTCTCTCTCATGGGCCATTTCAAGACTAACGGGCTGGGTTAGCCCAACATGGGCAGCCCAAAATTATAAAACCCATCACAATCCATGGACATCCATTTCTAAGAACGTCCCTTTGCGTTTTATATTTTGGAGATCTAACACTCTTTGGAGGGACAATTTAAAAAAATGAAAAAAATGATTGCTCAAAATTATGCACCTCATGCTTTTGATGAAATTTTTTAGTATGATTGTTTGTTTTGAAAATACAAATTTTCTCACGCTTAAAGCTGATGAGCTCTTAAAATGCTCATATCTTTTGAAGGAGATTTTGCACGAAGATTTTGCATGTTTAATTCACTATCTTCCATGCGGTAATTATCAAAATAGACAATTCAATGAATGATATGGAATAATTGAGAATGCTAAATGAGATGTGTCAGGATGATGAAAGGCAAGCCTGATCCGACACACGATCCCTTGTTTAAGATGAGTGGAAAAATTCCATATCCTCAAGTTAAAGTTTTCTCGTGAAAGGTACACAAACTAAAATGACGAGGGGCATTTCGTTCTGTATTCTAAAGAGTGCAAGTAAACCATTGCTTAACCCATTGGAGGTTGAGTATTTGGAGAATTCTTTTGAAATTAACCCACTCAAGAACCACCCCACGTTGGAGCAAATTGGAAGTAAATATGACATTACAAGGTGAGAAAAATGGATAAAATTTCATTGTCCTTACTTGCATCAATCTTCGAGTGTCTTTATTGCAAATCAACTCACACAAAAATTTAACCGCATTAATGTGATAAACAACATTTATTTATCCATCATACACACATTTATCCATTGCATAGCTCAATTGAGCCTGCAAATTCATTTCTAAACCTAGTTGATGATCACCCCCGCACTGGGGCAAGACAGATAAGTTACTGTGGTGGAATAGTATGGCATGGAGTGTCAATTAAAGGTGAAAGCACCGAGAATACCAATGGTGCTAAATTTATTCAAGAGTTGACGGAGCCATAAAAGTCGAAGTCCAGCTGGCTCGGGAACGTGTTGCAAAAAAAAAATCATCCTGAATGATGTGGCCAAAGGCCAAGTCTGCAAAAATCATCCTTAACGGAGAAACAATGATCTCCCAAGTTGCGAAGAACAAGTGTTTAACATGGCCAATGGAGCGTCTACACGATAAGGCAATCTCTGGTGAAGGAGAAGATTGGTAACAATGCCACCAGCTTCAAATCCCTTCAATGAAAAATTTTTGAGCATAGGCCACTCTTTAGTGTACTCTTATTTGAACTAAGATTTGGATGATTGGTGATCTAAACTATGAAAGAAGATCATGCATATTAGATATAGATTTTGAGACGGACTACTCATTGCCCCCACTAAAGTTAAATTCACTGGGGACTGGTAGGATTGGCTGTCCTAATAAGTAAGTCCATCTTTAAATGCTTTGGAGATTGGAGAGCCACCTTTAATGTGTCAATTGTTGTGGCTCCCTACTTGCTTCATAGTGGATTTTCCTAGGAAAACATCCAACCACAATAAAACTGTGAAACCCTAATAATGATACCAAGTCTGACAGGGGAACGAATTAAAGAGATAGCAGGAAAATAAATAAATTGAAAACACGATAAAAGTAAAAGAGTACTTTTTAGTATTGATCGTTTCTCGCCTTTTTACTATTTTACAAAGTGAGTCCATTTATATATACACTTCAAGAGATATTCATCTTGTGCTAAAGATAAGGAAAGGATCGTATCCTGCGCTGAAGATGAGGATAAGATCAAGATCATATCTTGTTTAGGGGCCTAATACCCTAAAAAAACCTCTAACTTTAGCTCTTGTCCCAATTTTACATTTTATCTCATAAAAAACCTCCAACTTTAGGTCATCTCCCAATTGTACCATAAACTTTTTTTGTCTTATAAAAAATCCTCTACTTTAGGTCCAATACCAATTCTATCATAAACTTTTTTTGTCTCATAAAAAAATCCTAGCTTTAGGTCTAATTTCAATTTCACTCTAATTTTTTGTCTCATGAAAGATCACTAATTTTTACTCGAGTTCCAAATCTTCTTTCCATTAACTCTCCGTCAAAATCGTCCTTAATGATTTTGCACTCGGTCTTCAATTTCTCCTGCTTGGGAATGTTTCATCTCTCACGATTGGAGAGCTCGCGCTCATGAAGGTCAAACAACTCTTGCTTGAGAGTTTTCCATCTCTTGATTGTCAAAAAGAAATTTTGAATGGAGGGTTAATGGGGGCAGATTTGTCACTCTAATAAAAGTTTGTGATTTTTTATTATAAAAATGTTAGGGTAAAATTGGGACTGGACAGTAAAATTGAGACAAGACTTAAAGTTTGGGGTTTTCGTAGGATTAAAAAAAAATTTAGGGTAGAATTGAGACAATAACTAAAATTGAGGGTTTTTTATGGGACGAAAAAAAGTTTACAGTAGAATTGAAACACGACCTAAAGTTGGTGTTTTTTATGAGACAAAAGGTAAAATTGGAATAAAAGGTAAAGTTATAGGTTTTTTAAGGTATTAGGCCCTTGTTTAGATATATGCACTTCAAGAAATATTCTTCTTGTGCTGAGAGGAAAAGATCAAGATCATATCTTGTTAGGAAAATATCTTGCTGAAGATAAGGAAAAAATGAAGATCATATCTTGTTAGGAAAAGATCGTATCTTTAACTTGTTCAACATGATACATCGATCATATCTTGTTAGGAAAAGATCATATCTTTGACTTGCTCAACATGATACATGCCTTGTATCTTACTTAATTATTGAACAAGGATAACCTAAAAATAATTCTTTTACAGTAAGGCATGATTCTACAAATAAAGTATTGTTGTAGTTGACGAAGGAAGAGATGGAGGGACCCAATTTAGAAGTGCCACTCAATAATTCAAAGATAAAATATGTAGACTAAATTATAACATCAATATAGGTTCCAATACAATCGATCGTCAAGTAATAGCAAAAGTAGAACAAAAATTAACCAAGCAAATCAAATAAGCAGAAATATAATCAAGGATAAATCTCAATGAGAGATCGAAGGCCCAGGTGAGAGACAATCTTGTAACCGCTAAAGCCAGCATCAACAAACAGCTTTTTCCATTCCTTTTCATCCCTTTCTTTCCCGTTGAATGTCACCATCATCAACATGTCAAAGAAGAGTTGCGTTTGGGTGGATGTATGATCTTCTGTTTGATTGCCTACTACCATATCTATCATAATGACTTTTCCAAACTTGCCTCGACCTGACACCGCTTCTTTGCATCGCTTCAGTATCTCAATGCATTTTTCATCGCTCCAGTCGTGTAATATCCACTGTATCCACAAGAGTCTTGGTCAACTGGTTGGAGGTTAAGGTTCTTATTGGAATGGTAATGTAAAAACAAAATAATGTCCATAGAAAGAGTTTCTCTTTTTAACTCTTTTACGTAGGTTACCAAGATTTGCACTAAAATGGAGTACTGTTTACGTGGTTGCCATATGGACTTTCAATGCGATTATAGTTCATGTAAGAGTTGCTCATTGATACATTCATGAAATGGAAAGATCTGACCAAATTTAGTTGTACTCATCTGTACTTTTGATTAAGCAAATTCAATGGCCACTTTAAACTCAAATATTTTGCAAAAATATTCCATGAAAAAACGCGTACATGTATTGGGACAACACATAACAATACAGACAAAATCTAGTTATTGACAACAAGATGATTGACAAGTAATCAATAAATATTTTACTATCTATATTTATATTCAAAATGATTGTAAAGAAATCCATAGTCAAGTTATGTATATTGTAAAAATCAAATTATTCGGTCAGTAGATTTGAACTGCAACCATGGACAACCTATATCATTTGAGATACAGCATAGAGGCATAGTACTTACCTTGAGAATGATTGCATCCGCCGGGGAAATTTCCACAAACATGTCGCCTCCGACAAACTTCAACCTCTCACTTCCGACCAAACCATCCACCACGTGTGGTTGATCGAACACGGTGCACTCCAAGTGTGGGAACGCCTCCGTGATGGCCTTACCCATCGTCCCAGTCCCACCTCCAACGTCGACCACCGAGCTCAGCCCCTCGAACACTCCCCCACATGTATCCACCACCGCCTTCGCTATTAGACTCGAGTCGCTCGCCATCACCTCGTTGAACAAGCAATTGGCCTTAGGATTGCGCCATGCATCCCACGCGGGTACGCCATGCGCCATCTCGAATGTTGATGAATGGACATCTTCTCCATCCCCCAACCATGCGCTCAGCCACTGGCCCGTGGAGAAAGGTTTGAGTGCGAACAACGCCAAGGGCACTAAACTCAAGGGGTTGTGCTTTACAAGGAGCCGGGACACACAGGTGAGCGCGTAACCAGTTTGGCGATCTGCTTCTTCAATGTCCCGTACCTCGAAGAAGCCGGAGTGGACAAGGGTGCGCATGAGGCGATGGATGCAATGAGCTTTGGTGGGTTGAATATGGAGTGCGGAGACGAGTTCGAGGAGGGTCATGGGTCGGCCATGGTTATGGATTAGGTCAGGTATGCCTAGTTCAATGGCACAATTTAGACACATTGAGTTGATGAAGCTATAAATGTGGTTCCATATGTGGGCTTGAGCTCGGAGGAGCTCGCTAGCGGTCGCATCCCCGTGTCCATTACCCAAATTCATGTCGAAAACACCTTCCTCTGTAGTCGTCGAACCTCTCTCACAACATATGTGTTTGCTACCTTTATGTTATATATGGAAATAGACCACGAAAACACCCTCCCCGTGAAAACATACGATATATCCAATAATGGTCGATATTGTTGGGTAATTTTATAATGTTGTTGCTCGTCTTTTTCCCGGTACGCCATTATGAAGCCACAATGGGCATCGTCTAGTGTACTTTGCGACGCCTCCAACGCATCTTTATGGGATACCACCATTTAACAACGTGGAATTGCAGGTGTGTCCAAGGAACAATGCATAAAAGGCATTAAAGGTCCTTGAACTATTAAAAATATTCAATCAAGTTCCTCAACTTGTGCAAGCTAAAATATGTAGAATGGTGGAACAAATGTGCACACATGGAAGGAAATGAGGTATGAGATAAAAAAGAAATTATCTACGAAATGAATCATTAAATGGGACAAGTAGTTATTGGAATACAACACTAATACCCTGTAAAATGTCCCGATACAAGAGACTACACGCATACAAGGTACGTTGTGATCTCGTATTTCGAGCAATACGGAGTGTATTTTTTGACACTAGCTGTCATAGAGATGAAAATTCCAGGGACAACTCAAAAGTTCACCACGCTTGAACTAGTGACACCCAAGTCTCGAAAATCAGCAAAATCACAACCCGAAGGTACTTAGCCCTCTCCTGCATGTTGCTCGAAGCACTTCTTCGAATCACCAACGATAAAGCAACATTAAACTGATGTTGTAAGAGTTAATTCTCAGTTCAAATCACAAGCTTGCTACATGCAAACAAAAGCACTGCAATTCAGTATTATAATTCAAGAAAGGCTATCACATATTCTCTTCCTACTACATTTACAGCTCCAAGAGCTCAACGTGAACAAAAACGGTGCAAGTCCAATGTAATATACAATTGACTCAGTCACTACAGAAGAAAATAAAAAGAAAAAGAAAAAAAATAACAGCTCGTGATGGAGAAAGACCGCCGGCAGATGTCTCGTGAACTGTCGCTAAGGACCTCTTGGGCTTACGCCAACAAAACATTGACTTATCATCTATCTTATTATACCCGGTCTGCCAGAAAGGCTTCGTCATCTTTTGCCGGCTCACCTATCTATATTATTTTCCTCGGTCTGCCAGAGGAGTCTACTAATTCCTTACATAAATGAACTGGGCTTATTCGTCAATTTGAGCTGACGGGGAGCCGTGCTTACCAGTAGAAAGAACATATCTACCGGATGCGTTACATAATACGAAAGGAACATCTACCTTTGATTATACAAGTCCACGGTCTACCTTTTCTTTTTCCTTGACCAAACTACAGTCTCCTTAATTCAGACGTTTCTTACTTACCCAATAATTCAATGACGAGAAGCCCTAGCAAACAAGCTTACGGAAGTCGTTGATCTTTCAAACGCAGAAGAGAATTCAAGAGTACATTTATTTCACGGAAAATGAATGATTTGGAAAATATATTTCTTAAAATGATCATTCGTATTTTTTGCAAAAACGAATGAACGAAAGATATTTTCATTGTCAATGAAAATGTTTCTACGTAAATTGCTATCAATAATAAAAACATTTCTTATTAACTAATTATTTCACAAAACAAACGGAGCCTCAAGGCGATACCCGTCCAGGAAGAAAGAGCTCTAGGAAATTTCAATGCAAAACACAAGCAATGAAAACAGCTAAAAATAGAAGTAAAAGACAAACGTTGTTCTAGTAACCTCAAATATGGAAAACATTACGGAAGACGGAATGTTTCTCTATGGTTGTATATCCCATATTACCCAATATATGTCTTCCGCACATTGGTGTGTTGATGCTGAGAGGCCTAGTTTGGACATTTTTATTCCCTGGCAAGCATCGCATTGACTTGAGGGCGAGGTTCAGAAGAGGTGTAACTGTAATGAACGTTATTATTCCGAATACTGTGGTAACTGTGATGAACACTTAACATATAGCTTATCTTTGTAATTGTTGAAATATCCCACGTCCCCAAATATATGTCTTAACATATAGCTTATCTCTGTGGTTGTTGAAATATCCACATCCTGAATATATGTCTTCCGCACATTGGTATGCTAATGCTGCGAGGCCTAGTTTGAACATTTTTATTCCCAAGCCTAGTTTGAACATTGACTTGAGGGCAAGGTTGAGAATAGGTGTAAATGTAATGAACAATTTTATTCCCAGTATCTGGCAACTGTAATGAACACTTAAAATATAGCTTATCTCAATGGTTGTTGAAACATTTTTATTCCCACGCCTAGTTTGAACATTGACTCGAGGGCGAGGTTCACAAGAGTTGCAAATGTAATGAACATTTTATTCCTGGTACCACGGCAACTATAATGAACACTTAAAATATAGCTTATCTCTATGGTTGTTGAAATATCCCACATTCCCGAACATATGACTTTCACACATTGGTATGCTGATGCTGAGAGGCCTACTTTGAACTTTTTTATTCCCAGGCCTAATTTGAACACTAACCTGAGGGTGAGGATCATAAGAGGCGTAAATGTAATGAACATTTTTATTCCCAGTACCTGGCAACTGTAATGAACACTTAAAATATAGCTTATCTCTATGCCTATTGAAATATCCCATATTCCCAAATATATGCCTTTCGCACATTGATATGTTGATGCTGAGTAGGGGTGAGCATGATTTCAAGGTAGAACCTAAAACTTGAGAACCAGACCGGTGGGAACCTGTCGGTTCCAGATTCCAGGGTCTGCAGGGTAAGTTCCAGGTTCCAAAATAAGGAATCTGTTTCGACGAGTAGGTTCCAGGTTTTAGGTAGGTGGAATCTGGAACCTGAAACAAGTTTTTTGTGTTTTTCTTAGTCTATGTCTTCATGCGATCCTGCAGTATTCCATGGCGTTTGATGATAAGTGTATAATATGGAATCATTAGTCTGAGTTTCCATTTTATGACTGAAACTTTTACTTTGTTAATAATTTATATTCTTCGTATGTCTAACTATAAGTTGTAGTAAGTGGATTATAGCATCAAGTAATGATCATTAAAGGTGATAATTCACTATAATTGTTTAATAATATAGGTGGAACCTGAGTAGACTCTAGAACCTGTGACACGGTAGATTCTAAGTTTCAAGGTATGTAGAGTAGGTTCCACGTTCCAAAAAATGAGGAACCTATTTCAACAGGTAGGTTCCAGGTTTCAAATGAAACCTGTATGAAACCTGAAATTGCTCACCCCTAATTATTTTTTTTTTTTTGGTCTGTCCTACTCTAGCTCTTAACCCACTCTCAGACTTTTGTCCTGTCTCCTTGCAAAGCGCGGAAGTCGAAACTCACATCTGAAACTAAACGCCCCACCCCTAATGTTGAGAGGCATAATTAAACATTTTTATTCCCAGGTCTAGTTTGAACATTGACTTGAGGGCGAGGTTCAAAAGAGTTGTGAATGTTACGAACATTATTATTCTCAATCACGTGGCAACTGCAATGAATACTTAAGAATATAGGTGACCCGAATAATACGGGTTATCTGTACCTCCAAGTGCATAAAGGATTGAACATTTTTTTTCAATTTAATGAGAAGAAGTCGAGGAGCTTTGCCTGTTTTTCTTCCCCCTCTCTTGGTGGCTGGGTCCCACCTTTTTTTCTTAAGCGGTGGTTGGGTCCACCACTCTTCTCTCAATTACCTCTCTTTTCTCTACTTAATTGATAAATTGCCAATTAGTTTTTTTTGGGTTTCGTAGATGTCAACTTATTGATTTCCTGGCTCAATTCCCTAAAGAACCCTCAACTTTAGCATTATCCCAATTATATCTCAAACTTTTTTTTTGTCTCATAAAAAACCCCAAATTTTTACTTTTGTCTCAAATCTACCCAGTGAACTTTTCGTCCAATTTTTTAATATTATTTTTTTATTTTTTCGAATTTTTTTATTTTTTCTTTTCTTTTCTTTTTCCTTTCCTTTTTTTTTTGTTTCACCTTCTGGCTGGTCGCCGGTCCGACGACCAGCCAGAGGCAGGGGCCGACGAGGTCGGCCCCGCCGGTCGCTGGCGAGGGTCGGCCTCGCCGGCGTTGGGCGAAGCCGACCTCGCCAATAGCCGGCGGGGCCGAGCCTCGCCGGGGCGGCGAGGCTCGACCACGCCGGCCGCCGGCGAGCCGACCTCGCCAATAGCCGGCGGGGCGGAGCCTCGCCGTTCTTGGCGAGCCGACCTCGCCGGTTCTGCCGACTGGTGCCGACCTCGCCAATAGCCGGCAGGGCCGAGCCTCGCCGGCCACGGCGAGGCTCGGACCCGCCGGCTATTGGCGAGGTCGACCTCGCCAAGGCCGGCGTGGCGGAGTTCTCACCCGATCCGGCGAGGCTCGGCCCGCCGGCAACCGGCGAGGTCGGCCTCGCCTCAAAGAACAACGAGGTTGGCTCGAGGCCGAACCTCGCCGTTGGCGAGCCGACCTCGCTGCTGCCGGCGGGCCGAGCCTCGCCGATCCGGCGAGAACTCGGCCACGCCGCCGGCGGGCGAGCCGACCTCGCACAGCCGCGGGGCCGAGCCTCCCGTGGCCGGGCGAGGCTCGGCCCCGCCGGCAACCGGCGAGAGCTAGCAACGGCGAGGCCGAACCTCGCCAGCGGCCGGCGGGGCCGACCTCGCCGGCCCCCGCCTCCGGTGACCGGCCAGAAGGTGTAACAAACAAAAAAGAAAAGGAAAGGAAACAGAAAAGAAAAAATAAAAAAAATTCAAAAAATTCAAAAATAATATTAAAAAATTGGACGAAAGGTTAACTGGGTAGATTTGGGACAAAAGTAAAAGTTTGGGGTTTTTTATGAGACAAAAAAAAGTTTAGGATATAATTGGGAAAAAGACTAAAGTTTGGGGTTTTTTAGGGAATTGGGCCTTGATTTCCTTTAGTCAAATTTATCGCTTTTATTGTTTCTTAATCAAGCCAAAGCCAAATCAATGTGTCAAAATTTTCAACTTTTCCAGATACAAGTTTTTTC